TAATGTGCGTCATTGGTTTATTGCCATCAGAAGAGCTTGGCGTACTTGAAAGGTATGATAATTTTTTGACTGGTTTTGGGCTGTGCTTAATTGCAATTGAATTTGACGGAGTTAGGTCCTCCAAAACACGGCAATGTTTTTCTAAAAAGGACAAAAAATCTTCCAAAGTTGGCAGTATTTTCATATCGCGTTGTAATCTATATGCCTTTCGTATATTGAAATCTAGCTTTCTAGAAAAAATGTGAACTAATATTAGGTCACTTTGTTCGATGGGTACGCCAAGATTTTTTAAAGCACTAATATTTTGCTTTACAGTAGTTAGAAAGTCGCGTAAGTTATCTTTGTCAACCTTGGTTAAACTTGGTAAATTTTCAAATAAATTTGACAAATGAGCATCTATAATTGTGTATTTGTCTTCGTATCGCTCTCTCAACGTGTCGAGAGCGATGTCGAAATTTGTTTCAACCAGCTGCAGCTTGTCAACTAATTTGAGAGCTTCGTCTCTTAGATAACTTTTTAAATAAATTAATTTTTGGAGATTGTCCAGTTGAGAATTATTAATTATCAATTTTTCAAATAAGTCATGGAATGATTGCCATTCTGAAGATACGCCGCTGAAAGGCTTTATTGATATGTCAGGGAGCTTGAAATTGATTTGAGGCAACACTGGAGGTTGCTGAGAAACTTTGAGTTGAGGAGAAACTTGTTGAAGACCTTGTAAGAATTTTACCTGCGTATTAATTAACGATATGGCGTCTAAAATCAAACCTTCTATGTCTTCGTCATCAAGGTCTTGCATGGGCGTGTCTTCAGTTTGAGAGGTAACAATTTCCTCTTGAATAGAGTTAAATGTTTGCAAAATATCTTTTAAAGCAGTTTTACGAGTGCTAAGCTTTTCAATATCAAGTAAATTGTCATTAAATTTTAACCAATTTATAATTCTTGTAAGACGGCCTTTGCAATGACCTTTTTTGCGTATAAGTGTTTCCATTTTTACTAAAATACTTGCTAATAACTATCAAAAGTTAACTTATTAACAAAAATTTGAAAATATAAAATAATATAATAGGAAAAATTTATATTATTAAGTTTTAACTAGAAAATAGCGACACTTTATTTTAATTGTTTTTTGAAAGAAACACTTTTGTATAAAAACAAATTGGTATAGTACCTAATTGAGTCTCGAATTGAGTCTTTGCTGCAAGAACGTAGCACTCGTAGGTATTGCACAAGTAAAGTTCAAAGTAAAATTGGAATTTTCTCACCCAATTTTCCAGCTCTTCGAAGATTTCCAGCTCTTCGAAGATTTCCAAATTGTACGATGAAGATTTCCAATGTGGAGGTTCAAATCCGGATCGAAGCTGACCATTAAATGTTGTGGTTTCCAACATTTATTTATTTTTCAAGAGTAGAATCTGTGGTAGAATGCTGCCAATGCCGTGCTAATTCTTGTTCGTAAATCCAGGTTCAAGGAAACACGATGGTTTGATTATGAAAAGTGTTTTTATTTTAATTTGAACGAAAAACGACTATTTACAACTATTTACAGAAAACAGGTAACAAATTCTGAAGAACATTGCATATTTAAATAAGTATATGGAACGTTCACTTTAACGCAAATAATTGGTTAATTAACAGCAATTAAACAATGTCGCTGAAGTTAGCATCAGATTCAGAAATGAAAATCATGTTTTTACAGTCGACCAAGGACCAAATAAGTAGTGCCACAAATAAAATGAATCAAAAAATCTATTCTAAAAGATTCTGTAACATCATCAAACTTGGTGGAAATAATACTGAGGGTGATGTACGTCACATGCTGAAAAATCATATGTCCAGGGAGGGGTTGAAGGGGGTAGATTCCGCCCCAAAAATGTAAATGAGATCAGATATAAAAATTTTGTAGCAGATTCAAAGTTGGTCCAATTATTGCTTGGATAGATACGAGTAAAATATCAAAAAAGCACATGTTTATCTCGGGGTTGAAGGGGGGAAATTCAACCCCAAAATTGACGGAAAAAAACAAGAACCTTGAAAAATTTTGTAGCAGTTTCAAAGTTGGTCGAATTATTGCTTGGATAGATACGAGTAAAATATCAAAGAAGCACATGTTTATCACGGGGTTGAAGGGGGGAAATTCAACCCCAAAGTTGACGAAAAAACCAAACTTCCTTGAAAAATTTTGCAGCAGATTCAAAGTTGGTCCAATTATTGCTTGGATAGATACGAGTAAAATATCAAAAAAGCACATGTTTATCTCGGGGTTGAAGGGGGGAAATTCAACCCCAAAGTTGACGGAAAAAAACAAACTTCCTTGAAAAATTTTGTGGCAGTTTCAAAGTTGGTCGAATTATTGCTTGGACAGATACGAGTAAAATATCAAAAAAGCGAATGTTTATCTCGGGGTTGAAGACGGAAAATTCAATCCCAAAGTTGACGAAAAAACCAAATTTCTTTGAAAAATTTTGTGGCAGTTTCAAAGTTGGTCGAATTATTCCTTGGACAGATACGAGTAAAATATAAAAAAAGCACATGTTTATCTCGGGGTTGAAGGGGGGAAATTCAACCCCAAAGTTGACGGAAAAAAACAAACTTCCTTGAAAAATTTTGTGGCAGTTTCAAAGTTGGTCGAATTATTGCTTGGACAGATACGAGTAAAATATCAAAAAAGCGAATGTTTATCTCGGGGTTGAAGACGGAAAATTCAATCCCAAAGTTGACGAAAAAACCAAATTTTTTTGAAAAATTTTGTGGCAGTTTCAAAGTTGGTCGAATTATTCCTTGGACAGATACGAGTAAAATATAAAAAAAGCACATGTTTATCTCGGGGTTGAAGGGGGGAAATTCAACCCCAAAGTTGACGAAAAAAATCAAACTTCTTTGAAAAATTTTGTAGCAGATTCAAAGTTAGTCGAATTATTTTTTAGACAGATACGAGTAAAATATCAAAAAAGCACATGTTTATCTCGGGGTTGAAGGGGGGAAATTCAACCCCAAAGTTGACGGAAAAAAACAAACTTCTTTGAAAAATTTTGTAGCAGATTCAAAGTTAGTCGAATTATTTTTTAGACAGATACGAGTAAAATATCAAAAAAGCACATGTTTATCTCGGGGTTGAAGGGGGGAAATTCAACCCCAAAGTTGACGGAAAAAAACAAACTTCTTTGAAAAATTTTGTAGCAGATTCAAAGTTGGTCCAATTATTGCTTGGATAGATACGAGTAAAATATCAAAAAAGCACATGTTTATCTCGGGGTTGAAGGGGGGAAATTCAACCCCAAAGTTGACGGAAAAAAACAAACTTCCTTGAAAAATTTTGTAGCAGATTCAAAGTTAGTCGAATTATTTTTTAGACAGATACGAGTAAAATATAAAAAAAGCACATGTTTATCTCGGGGTTGAAGGGGGGAAATTCAACCCCAAAGTTGACGGAAAAAAACAAACTTCCTTGAAAAATTTTGTAGCAGATTCAAAGTTAGTCGAATTATTTTTTAGACAGATACGAGTAAAATATCAAAAAAGCACATGTTTATCTCGGGGTTGAAGGGGGGAAATTCAACCCCAAAGTTGACGGAAAAAAACAAACTTCCTTGAAAAATTTTGTAGCAGTTTCAAAGTTGGTCGAATTATTGCTTGGATAGATACGAGTAAAATATCAAAAAAGCACATGTTTATCTCGGGGTTGAAGGGGGGAAATTCAACCCCAAACTTGACGAAAAAACCAAACTTCCTTGAAAAATTTTGTAGCAGATTCAAAGTTGGTCGAATTATTCCTTGGACAGATACGAGTAAAATATAAAAAAAGCACATGTTTATCTCGGGGTTGAAGGGGGGAAATTCAACCCCAAAGTTGACGAAAAAATCAAACTTCTTTGAAAAATTTTGTAGCAGATTCAAAGTTAGTCGAATTATTTTTTAGACAGATACGAGTAAAATATCAAAAAAGCACATGTTTATCTCGGGGTTGAAGGGGGGAAATTCAACCCCAAAGTTGACGGAAAAAAACAAACTTCCTTGAAAAATTTTGTAGCAGATTCAAAGTTAGTCGAATTATTTTTTAGACAGATACGAGTAAAATATCAAAAAAGCACATGTTTATCTCGGGGTTGAAGGGGGGAAATTCAACCCCAAAGTTGACGGAAAAAAACAAACTTCTTTGAAAAATTTTGTAACAGATTCAAAGTTAGTCGAATTATTTTTTGGACAGATACAAGTAAAATATCAAAAAAGCACATGTTCATCTCGGGGTTGAAGGGGGGAAATTCAACCCCAAAGTTGACGAAAAAAAACAAACTTCCTTGAAAAATTTTGTAGCAGTTTCAAAGTTAGTCGAATTATTGCTTGGACAGATACGAGTAAAATATCAAAAAAGCACATGTTAATCTGGGGGTTGAAGGAGGGGAAATTCTACTCCAAAGCTGTCGAAGAAAACCCAACTTGCTTAAAAAAATTTGTTACACCCAATACCCAATCCTCTCCAATTGGAACAATATTCTAGAAATAGCGTCCAAAAATGGCGAAAAATATACACATGATTCCTACTTGTGGCGTCGTGGATTATGGCACACTCCAAAATTTTACCATTTCAGTTGACACTATGAAACGATGTTCAATCAACGCCGACTAAACAAGATATGTTCCTTTATACAGTTGCGATAAAAAAAAAGTAGTACAAGAAAAATCTCCAAAATCTCCTGGTCTATATGCATTAATTTAATTCTTAACCAAAAATGACGCATTTTTGGCATTTTTGGCATTTTTCGACAAGTTCTTAACCCAGGAAGTTTCAGATGACATTACTTTGGCATTTTTGCACCCGTTTTCAACCTAGAATATATCATTGCCTGTCAAAATTTTGAATGTTACTCTGGGAGCTCGAATTGGGGGAATAATTTTTTATACTACTTTTTTTCTATCGCAACTGTACTGTTAACCATGATGAAGTACCGTACCTACCTGCCACTTTATCGACATCTATTATTATAAAGTATAATCATAAAATGGAAATGAGTTACCAACCTTTCTTCCCCTTTTCTCAAAGTGAGCTGAGCTTATATTATATAGGTACCTGATCAACATAGACGCACGTGTTGTGAAAACTAATTCTAAACGAGAAAAATTAATTTTTATTGTAAACTTTTCTGAACTGAAACGTGGGATGGAAATCTCTTTTGGGAAAATGTGACTTCATTTTTCAAAGAAGTTTGTTTTTTTTTGACAACTTTGGGGTTGAATTTCCCCCCTTCAACCCTGAGATAAACATGTGCTTTTTTGATATTTTACTCGAATCTATCCAAGCAATAATTCGACTAACTTTGAATCTGCTACAAAATTTTTCAAGGAAGTTTGATTTTTTTCGTCAACTTTGGGGTTGAATTTCCCCCCTCCAACCCCGAGATAAACATGTGCTTTTTTGATATTTTACTCGTATCTATCCAAGCAATAATTGGACCAACTTTGAATCTGCTACAAAATTTTTCAAGGAAGTTTGGTTTTTTCGTCAAGTTTGGGGTTGAATTTCCCCCCTTCAACCCCGAGATAAACATGTGCTTTTTTGATATTTTACTCGTATCTATCCAAGCAATAATTGGACCAACTTTGAATCTGCTACAAAATTTTTCAAGGAAGTTTGGTTTTTTCGTCAAGTTTGGGGTTGAATTTCCCCCCTTCAACCCCGAGATAAACATGTGCTTTTTTGATATTTTACTCGTATCTATCCAAGCAATAATTGGACCAACTTTGAATCTGCTACAAAATTTTTCAAGGAAGTTTGATTTTTTTCGTCAATTTTGGGGTTGAATTTCCCCCCTTCAACCCCGAGATAAACATGTGCTTTTTTGATATTTTACTCGTATCTATCCAAGCAATAATTGGACCAACTTTGAATCTGCTACAAAATTTTTCAAGGAAGTTTGATTTTTTTCGTCAATTTTGGGGTTGAATTTCCCCCCTTCAACCCCGAGATAAACATGTGCTTTTTTGATATTTTACTCGTATCTATCCAGGCAATAATTGGACCAACTTTGAATCTGCTACAAAATTTTTCAAGGAAGTTTGGTTTTTTCGTCAAATTTGGGGTTGAATTTCCCCCCTTCAACCCCGAGATAAACATGTGCTTTTTTGATATTTTACTCGTATCTATCCAAGCAATAATTGGACCAAATTTGAATCTGCTACAAAATTTTTCAAGGAAGTTTGATTTTTTTCGTCAATTTTGGGGTTGAATTTCCCCCCTTCAACCCCGAGATAAACATGTGCTTTTTTGATATTTTACTCGTATCTATCCAAGCAATAATTGGACCAACTTTGAATCTGCTACAAAATTTTTCAAGGAAGTTTGGTTTTTTCGTCAATTTTGGGGTTGAATTTCCCCCCTTCAACCCCGAGATAAACATGTGCTTTTTTGATATTTTACTCGTATCTATCCAAGCAATAATTGGACCAACTTTGAATCTGCTACAAAATTTTTCAAGGAAGTTTGATTTTTTTTCGTCAATTTTGGGGTCGAATTTCCCCCCTTCAACCCCGAGATAAACATGTGCTTTTTTGATATTTTACTCGTATCTATCCAGGCAATAATTGGACCAACTTTGAATCTGCTACAAAATTTTTCAAGGAAGTTTGGTTTTTTCGTCAAATTTGGGGTTGAATTTCCCCCCTTCAACCCCGAGATAAACATGTGCTTTTTTGATATTTTACTCGTATCTATCCAAGCAATAATTGGACCAAATTTGAATCTGCTACAAAATTTTTCAAGGAAGTTTGATTTTTTTCGTCAATTTTGGGGTTGAATTTCCCCCCTTCAACCCCGAGATAAACATGTGCTTTTTTGATATTTTACTCGTATCTATCCAAGCAATAATTGGACCAACTTTGAATCTGCTACAAAATTTTTCAAGGAAGTTTGGTTTTTTCGTCAATTTTGGGGTTGAATTTCCCCCCTTCAACCCCGAGATAAACATGTGCTTTTTTGATATTTTACTCGTATCTATCCAAGCAATAATTGGACCAACTTTGAATCTGCTACAAAATTTTTCAAGGAAGTTTGATTTTTTTCGTCAATTTTGGGGTTGAATTTCCCCCCTTCAACCCCGAGATAAACATGTGCTTTTTTGATATTTTACTCGTATCTATCCAGGCAATAATTGGACCAACTTTGAATCTGCTACAAAATTTTTCAAGGAAGTTTGGTTTTTTCGTCAAATTTGGGGTTGAATTTCCCCCCTTCAACCCCGAGATAAACATGTGCTTTTTTGATATTTCACTCGTATCTGTCCAAGCAATAATTGGACCAACTTTGAATCTGCTACAAAATTTTTCAAGGAAGTTTGATTTTTTTCGTCAACTTTGGGGTTGAATTTCCCCCCTTCAACCCCGAGATAAACATGTGCTTTTTTGATATTTTACTCGTATCTATCCAAGCAATAATTGGACCAACTTCGAATCTGCTACAAAATTTTTCAAGGAAGTTTGGTTTTTTCGTCAAATTTGGGGTTGAATTTCCCCCCTTCAACCCCGAGATAAACATGTGCTTTTTTGATATTTCACTCGTATCTGTCCAAGCAATAATTGGACCAACTTTGAATCTGCTACAAAATTTTTCAAGGAAGTTTGATTTTTTTCGTCAATTTTGGGGTTGAATTTCCCCCCTTCAACCCCGAGATAAACATGTGCTTTTTTGATATTTTACTCGTCTCTATCCAAGCAATAATTCGACTTACTTTGAATCTGCTACAAAATTTTTCAAGGAAGTTTGATTTTTTTCGTCAACTTTGGGGTTGAATTTCCCCCCTCCAACCCCGAGATAAACATGTGCTTATTTGATATTTTACTCGTATCTATCCAAGCAATAATTGGACCAACTTTGAATCTGCTACAAAATTTTTCAAGGAAGTTTGGTTTTTTCGTCAAGTTTGGGGTTGAATTTCCCCCTTTCAACCCCGAGATAAACATGTGCTTTTTTGATATTTTACTCGTATCTATCCAGGCAATAATTGGACCAACTTTGAATCTGCTACAAAATTTTTCAAGGAAGTTTGATTTTTTTCGTCAATTTTGGGGTTGAATTTCCCCCCTTCAACCCCGAGATAAACATGTGCTTTTTTGATATTTTACTCGTATCTATCCAAGCAATAATTGGACCAACTTTGAATCTGCTACAAAATTTTTCAAGGAAGTTTGTTTTTTTTCGTCAAATTTGGGGTTGAATTTCCCCCCTTCAACCCCGAGATAAACATGTGCTTTTTTGATATTTTACTCGTATCTATCCAATCAATAATTGGACCAACTTTGAATCTGCTACAAAATTTTTCAAGGAAGTTTGATTTTTTTCGTCAATTTTGGGGTTGAATTTCCCCCCTTCAACCCCGAGATAAACATGTGCTTTTTTGATATTTTACTCGTATCTATCCAAGCAATAATTGGACCAACTTTGAATCTGCTACAAAATTTTTCAAGGAAGTTTGGTTTTTTTCGTCAACTTTGGGGTTGAATTTCCCCCCTTCAACCCCGAGATAAACATGTGCTTTTTTGATATTTTACTCGTATCTATCCAAGCAATAATTGGT